TGGAGTAATAAAAAAGGAGAAAGACAGAAAAGAGAGAGGGTAAAAAAAAGGGAGAGAGCGGGGGGGGGGGGGGGGGTTGCAGTTGGAGTCTAATCTGAGCCTCAGAGGAATGCAGCAGTGTGTTAGACAACTAACCAAGAACGGACACACACACACACACACACACACACACACACACACACACACACACACACACAACACAGGTTCAGTGAAACGGGCTGAGAGTCCTATGCCACGCCAGCCTCAGCACAAGTCCACAGAAATTAGTTCAGTATCAATAATTATCAATAATCTGCAGCAATCACAGCTATTAAAACTCTACACACTAAAGCCAATCAGCAAAATATCAAATTTAAAGTCCCCCTGGTCCCAAATACAGTCGTGCACAGAGACGTGTTTGGTGTCTGACGTTTGCTTATTTACTTTTACACTTGAGCTACGTAGCTAACAAGTAAAGGAAGCCCCCCCAGTTAGCTCGGTGACAGCTGCTTGGCTGAATCACTGCCTCAAACTGTGCATTACAGCGTCTGAAGCCCACTGTGGCCAGGTTTCTCCTTTCAGTCTATCAAAATGTTCACTTTAGCCCAATCCCATTTCACCCCTCGCCCCTACCACTCAGCCATACCCCCGTTTTGCACTAAATTTCCAGTTCCACCTTAAATGGTGCAGCAGTTACATTCTGGCGCCTCAGGCATCAGAACTGCTGCTCTATTTAAGGTGGAACAGGAAAATTCAAACAAGAATCTGGTGAATATCTGACTTCAGCTTCATATCACTGACGAATTAGGGGTAGGCGATAGTAAATAATTGCCCCCCTCTTTGAAGGCATATGATGCCCTAAATGTAACTAAAGCCCAGCAGTGAGGAGCTGAACTTTACCCTCCTCTGCTGTCACTGCAGACTGGCAGGGTCGCCTACAGAGCAGCGCTGGTAGCTGTTAATGAAGTGATGCTCTTTTTATTTGAGGGTCCCATTTCAGAGGGAAGATTTCAGCCACTACCCTGTAACTCAGCTCCAAGGGGTGACACTCAAAAACAAGGGGTAGAAACAAGAAATGAAATTGGGCCTTAGTATCTCAAAATGGTCCCTTTTTTCTAAATACTGTCTTGCTATCTTGAAATAACAACACTGTCTCATAACACTGACTTATTAGGGCTGAATGATTTGGGGAAAATATTTAACAGTGATTTTTCTGACCAACATTGCAAATGTGAATTTAAATCGTGATCATTTTTATGTAAATTGAGGCCTGTTTTTTGCCCACAAAGACCAGAACACCCACTGAAGTTTTAAAGTACTGTGCCAAGCTGCAACAGTTGTGGTTGTGATGTCACAGCACGTGGGCGTTTGATTGCATCTGAATGGTCTAACTCGTCTACATGCTTTGTACTAATGGGTTAAATCTCTCACTCACAACTTGCTAAAATGTTTCAATAATGAAGGCAATAATAAACGCACTCTTTTGATGCCTTAATCTCTCAAAAATTGACTTAGTATTTCGAATAAGTCAATATTTTGGCATACAGCAGCGTAGATATTCTTTTCTCCTCTATCTGGCAGGAATAGGCTTCCATAAATACCATATCAGTCTATTACAAATTACTGAACAACTCCACACAGTTTGAGGCGAGCGTGATGATTCAGGAGTGCAGTCAGCACCATGCTAACTCTATATGTTGTATAGTGTGCTGTGAGCATCCTTTACTTTTTTTTTAATTATTGACTTATCAGTGCGCTTTAATTATATTTCAAGGCATAATCGCAATCACGGTACGTAGCAATACATTTGCACAATGAACAAAACTGGGGGTGTTTAATTATCATAACCACGGCAGCATCAAAATAAATCTCTGCATATGATAAAACAAATACACTAGGATATATAGGGTAATATACAGCGGCGTAACTACCATCCAATGGGCCCAGTGCAGTTAATGCCCCTCATTCAAAGACGACCTTCCGCTAACTAAAATTAACTAACACAGCAATAGCGAGTAAGCAACTGTTTACTAATACCTGACATGGTATTATTACGTTACTATAGCTAATCATGAGCTCAGTAGTGGTGATACGAGGGGTCCAATTAAGACATTAATTAAGCAATTAAGTCCAGTCACCATGCAACTACCCCACCTGCACTGCCTGTAGTTACGCCACTGTTGATATAAACAGGCTAACGCTACAGGCTACTTTTTCTACTCTCAAAAGTCTATAATACTGACCGATTTAACTGCCACGGCTTCAGAAGTGCACAATATTTTCAGCAGAAAACGAAGCACAAGGCTGAAAAGGACCACACCAGGATCACGGCTTCAACCCAAATTCCACACTGACTGGTTGTATCGTGATACTGAGGCAGTCGTTTATCAATTTCTCTTGTCAGGTTCATCATATGTGGTCATTTAAAGTGGCCATCAGAGCAAAATACTCTTACTCTGACATGAGCTAGACTACCCAACTATCCAAAACTGCCACGAGCCCACATAAAACTACTGGCACCCCCACCGTCCGTATTAAAATTAAAAAAGAAACTTATAATAATATAACGTGGAGTACTTGAGCCTACAGCTCAATACAGAGAAATGACTGGCTCTCAATTTAAAGGACACATGATAATGTTGCTAACAATGGGCCTCGTTCACCAACCGCTCTGTTTTTGTTCTTAGGTAAAAAAACAGAATCTACAGCACAAAGGTGAGGACAGTTCTGCGCTTTAAGAACACGTCATGAATCCGACGTAGACCTTTTCTCAAGAATACATTTAAGAACAAACTTAGGAAGATATCGGCGAATGAGGCCGTATGAATGGAAGCTAGTAGTCACTGTTTAGCATGAGTTTGAATAAATTAGTGACTTCATTCATTAGTTTCCATCCAAACCAAGTGTTTTAGCAGTTTCAAAGGGGTGCTGGGACTATGGAAACTTGATTACAGTGCTGGTAACATTTTTCTAATGACAACAAACTTTTAGCTTCTGTTTACTATTCAACTTCAGCAGAAAAACTGTTCATCAATATCTAAAATGTTCAAGGAAAATAATGCACTTACGTGTAAATTCAGCTTAATCAGTACGTTATGGGTACGCCGAAGGTACACAAGTGGAGACATATAACTTTTTTTAGCAAGAAGCCAAAACTTAGTTTTTTATGGCAGGAAATGCACGTAAAAAAGCATTTTCATTTGCTAAAACGCAGTTTGATGGAAACGAGCTGTTCTATTGCTTGCGCAGAACGTCGGTGAAAACACAGCTATTGTTAGCAACATTAGCAATACTGACTGAATCGTCAAATTTTGACAAGCCAGCTCAGCTGAGTATGTGTAAACAGTATGGCTCGTCCACAAATTGGTGGTTTTACACCAATAAATGAACAATTTCAACATCTTTTAGCCTGATCTCCATCCACTGGATCTGCAGTGTACAATTGACAACTACAGACAATAATTTCAACACATTTCCCTGAACTTGGAAAACCATTTTGCATTAAATTCACTTATAACAGAGGGCAGTGGCTTCTATTATAAGTGTGCATTGAGCCGCTTTCTGTCCTTGTACTTCTTTTCTATGTAAAGCGTATCGCTGTTGTTGGGAGAAAACCATTTCCATTTTTGACGTTTTTCAGTTTTTGACATGATTCGAAAATACCCGTTGTCCTTTACACTGTGCGTAAATTTCATGATGAATGGACAAAGAGAAATGACCCAAAATGACTTGGAAAAAAGTCTGGTTCCATTGACTTACATTAAAAAGTAAAGTAGGTTTTTTTCCTTCTCCTGTAAAGTTACCATTTTGGAGAAGGTCATTTGGAGGTTTTCTTCCAACAACAATGATATGCTAATATATACTCAGTAAAACACTGAAATAGGCTGGAATATTCCTTTATCTCTGCTAATTCCAAATGTAAGCACTTAGTGAGCAGACGTGATTCTCAATTTTAAATCATTTGTGTTGATTATCTTCGGCAAGTCAACATGCAGCTGTTGTTTAAAAGGGGACGATGACGATTTTTAAAAATCTCTGCATAATTAGATGGTTACGATGTAAACAGAGCGGTTCAGAGTGGTTTGGTGTGAAACGCTCTGTTCTACAGAAACTTACCGAGTCAGAACTGTTCACAGTGGTGGTGATAGGAACCAGACGTCCACCTCTAAAAGCTCCCTCACAGAAAGTTCCTACATGAAATGGTTATGAATTCACTGCCTGATGACTGAGACACTGTTTTATGATAGTTTAATGATAAAGATTTGCTCTTAAGTGTATTTTAAGATTTGAATCTATTCATGGTGGAGGGATACATAACATGCAGGGTGCTGTGAGGCAAAACAGTCCCCAAAGAAAACGTACTATTTCAGATTTTCCTCTATTTTCTCTGTATTGACTCATCAACATTCCATATAGACTCAGAAGACTCGTGTAGGTTCACTGGTGGGTTCTGGATAGTAAATAAAATGTCTATATTTGTGTTGTAGTCATGGCGACCCCTGGTTCCTATCACCACCACTGTAAAGACATCTGAACCCTTTCACTCCAAACCACTCCCAGTGACTTCAATGTATTATGCAGACACACTGAAAAATGGGTGGAATTCCCCTTTAAATCCACATTTCTGTCCCTTTAGAGCCGTTCTGTGCATTTGTCTATACACACCCCCCTTGTTGTCCATAGTGGAGAGAAAATAAGTGGAGAACAAGATAGAATTCAATAGAATTCAGCAAAAAATGTTTCTCTCTCTCAGAAAAGCAGTTAAAAAGTGAGAGCAGCAGCTGATTGAGTTTCATCAATAATGTGCAGTAGTAGCTTAGTGCATTGCCACGGTTCACTAAGATCAATTTTCACGTTTACTTATGCATAGGAGAGATATGACCATAAAACTCTGTGTCACAGCCTCAGGATTTGTACATGGCAAGCAGGAAAGGTGTTAAGTTTGAACGATTACGCTGTACAGGTGAGATTACAGGTGGAAGCACTAGATTCACGCTAAGCAATATCATACTCACTCACTGTGTTTTTAGATTATTATTATTAGGCACAAGGTTTAGCTGAGTCACATCTGGATATTAACCGGCACTGCTGAGTCACTTATTATGCACAGGGCTCCATCGAGCCACGTATTCACAGTACAGAAGTCTGTTCTGATTGCCTGTTTCATCCGATTTTACTATGAAATCTTTAAACTAGAGATTCTACCAGCAACGACCTGAACGAACAATGGAATGAGGAAAGTGCAGCTTCAGATAACGTATCCATACGTACTGACGTCTGTCCGTCTGGCCAAATATGAGCCATTCAATACCCACGTGATTGATTTTGCATATGAAAAAACATCTAGATTACTACCAGCTACAGGAGTAAAGAAATAAACCCAGGAATATAACTTTGATAGTCTGTGTTGTTGGGAAGTGAACAGGATCCACAACGAATCCTCCGCTGCCTCAGTTTTTAAAACGGGTCTGCTCACATATGTGGTTGAATTTCCTAAAAAAACAGAAAGAACAAAATGTTAATAATATTTGTGTGGCTCTTCCAAACTGACTTGAGAGGAAAACAATGAGAAAATGTTTAACATGTGGAAAAGTCTCCCTCTGCTGGCAGAAGAATGAATTACACAAAATGTCACGACCAAACGACTACAAGGATTAGTGGACAAAGTCAAAATAAATGTTCACTATTAAAAAGTTGCTTATTATTTATTTATTATCCAATAAAGTAAAAATTTTATACAGTGTGTAGGTACAGCGAGGCCCAAAGGTCTGAGACCACTAGTGGAAATTATTCTGTTTTGCACTCTTTTCTAATTTAACACAGTGTTTCCTTACAAACTGTATTATCAACATAACAATCCGAGTAAAAAGCAGATTCTGACTTCTTAAAGAGTAACTCCACCCAGACCTTTTTTTTCCTCCCATTAACAGCTGAAATGCTCTGCGATGAGAAATTACACCAGCCTTGTTTAAAATGTGAACACATATTTTTACAGTTTGGAAAGATCATTTTTATCGTGGTCAATTCCACCTCTGCAGCGCCCCCTCAGTTGGTAAAGTGCTGTTTGATTCTGTCACTCTCCATATTTTCTGGTAGCTAACGTACGCTAGCTCTAAAACCACAGCAGTCCAGCCGCCCAGCCCACCCGGCTTCCCTCGCAGCCCCACCTCTAAACCCTTAGATCACTGCAGTGCCCCTCCCATTTTTTCAGCATTTTTCAATGTTGAGCCAAGGGTGGAGTTAGCTGGAAATCGTGGGGTGTAGTTACTCTTTAAAGGTGCAATGTGTAAAATTCAGTGGCCTCTAGTGGTGAGATTGCAGATTGCAACCTGCTGAATTCCGCTCCCTCACCCCTCCCTTTCCAAGCGTGTAGCAGAACCTACGGCGTCTGATTTCGTTTTGCCTCTTCATGTTTCCTCTTCTTTGACGGAGAGGATTCACCCTCCCTCGCTTATTCTTCATTCATTGACTTCTCAAAGCTTTTCTTTGTTGCTTTTTTTTTATTCTAAAATGTTCTGCTGTTTATTTTAAGGTTTAAATGAAAAAAATCTGGTTTTCAATGTGGTCTCAGACTTTTGGATTCTGCTGTATATTGTACTATTGTATTGTAATGTACTTATTAAAAATGCAAGGTGAGTAAAGCTTCAAAGACAACTGGAATATCACTTCCTTCCATTGATTCTGTTTACATTCAGCACAACCTGAAGTGAGCAAAGAGAATAATTAAAGATTCTTCTCATCTTTTCCAAACTCTTCTTTCTGGGAGGAGCTACAGATCCATAAAAACTAAAGCCTTGGGTTCACTACACAAATTTTGAAGTCGTAGCAGATTATAACAGACTGGGTGTCTCGCACTATCTGACCGAATTTTGCAGATTTTTTTGGGTGACTGAAATATTCGGGATCCACACTAAGCGATTAGGAATCACATACTACTCAACTTTTATGCTATTGCTGAACTGAATGGAACTCACTGAACTCACGCGAACTCTCACAAACTCTTGCGTTCTCCCGTTACTAGGTGACGCAAATAAACAAACATGAGCTGCTGCTGCTGTTTTCTCTGCTGTTTGTGCTGAAACAGTAAAGCAGGTAAACATGTTTAAGTGGATCATGGATTAAAAAAATGTGATCAGTTCGGTGTTTTTTAGAGTTTTAAACGTACATAAACTCGATTGTGCCTTAAACTCAGCTCATTAAAAAGCTTCGCTCCACACGTGAGAGACTTTTCACCATTTTTCTTTGTTTAGCTGTATTTTCTTCTTTCGCGCTCTCAGTTTTCATTGACTGTTGGTGGAATCCAGTCAGATTGAGTCGTTGACCAGTTTACACTAGATTACAATCAGAGTCAGGTTAAAAAAAAAATATCAAACGTTTGATAAACTCTGACTCGTCTGAAACGCGATCAGGAGGCTGTAAAACTAAATCTGTGTCCCTCACACACGACTCGACTCTCTCTCCAACTGTCGACTCCGACTAACCCAAACATCTGCAGACTAGAGCCGACCAGCTCAGACTCAGCCAGACTGAGAATCGGGGGTAAAAGTCGTGTAGTGTAACCCCGGCTTAAAACAATCCGCTTCAAGAACAGCTTTTTCCCTCCTGCTGTAAGGTTACTAAACTCTGAGTAATGTAAACAGAGTCCGACTAAGATTTCCAGACTTGTGAGGGCACACAGATGAAATTATTGTGCAATTCATGATTCTTGTGTATTAAATCTTGTATATCGTTCCTGTCGGAAGAAAAACCTTGTATATCCATTTTTGTCATTTTTCAGTTTTTGACATAATTCACAGTGCCTTTTGTCTTTTAGGTTGTGTGTAAATTTCATGACGAACGGACCAAAAGAAACGGCCCAAAATGACGTGGAAAAAGTCCGGTTCCATTGACTTGCGTTAAAAGTAAAGTATGTTTTTTCCTTCTCCTGTAAAGTTACTATTTTGGAGATACGAGGCTTTGATCCGACGGCAGCGATATTGTGGATTGTACTGTATATTGTTTAGTGTATGTGTATTATATTGTATGTTTAAGTGAACTGTGCTACAACAGAGTTGAAACAGTAATGTGACAGTCTGTAACACAGCATGGGGCGATATGGCTTCTGTTTCACTGCACCATAAAATTAAAAGCCGATTAATCTATATAAATACAGAAATCAACGTAGAACTAATCATTGGTTCCAGGCCTAATGCTGAGAATGCACTGTCAGTAGTTATGAGGCTCTTACATTGCATGGTGAGCTTTGACCTGCGTGCGGCAGTTGCGTCCCCAGTAGCAGTCCGGTCTGGAGGTCACAGCAGCTGAGAAGACAAAAAGACTTTCAGCTTCAAGCATGCAAACATCAGACAAGATGAAGAATGCTGCCACTCATGTACACCTGCTGCAGATTTCTGGCCAATGAATGGATCTACATCCCTACAGGAGAATACCTGCATAGCGCTTACTGTTTAAAGGGGACCTACTGAGCTTTTCAGGTTTTTCTCTCTGCTTTAGTTATGGAGCTTTTTGTGCATGTAAATGTTCTGCAAAGTCACAAAGCTCAGTGTTCCCTCCAGAGGGAGAAACTCTCCCCGACAGAACCCACTTTTGTCAGCTGCCTGAAACGTCTCATTGGAATTCCAGCCTTTTCCTTTGTTACAAGATGACATCATCTCGGAACACAGTCCTTACTGCCCGCCTACCGGCGAGCTCGGCCCCCTCACACAGCGCACAGCGGCTACTGGAAGAGGAAGAGAGTGTTCAGTGCTGTAGCGTGTGGAGAGACGCTGACCGGACATTCAGGATTAACTCTGGATCAAACTGAGAACCGACAGAACCGACGCTGCTGGAAAAACAGCCACAGTGGAGTTACAGCTGCTCAGGAGAGAAGGGTCTGTCTGCAGACTGCAGGACAGGGGCGGAACGTGAAGGGGCGGAAACGCTCTGGTGGTCGACCAATCAGAACAGAGGGGGCGAGTTGACCAATCAGAGCGCACTGGCCTCATCAGGAGGCAGGGCTTAAAGACACAGGAGCTCTAACATCACGAGGCAGATGATAAAAACTGCCCTCCTTCATCTTAAATCTAGTTAATAAATCCAATATTTCTCCTGTTTAGATTGTTGTAAGCTTATTTAAAGATTATTTAACTTATTTCCAAACATTTTTACTAGATCCAAGTAATTTTATTAAGCAAAATTCTCACTATATTGGCAGGTAATTTTGCTTGTTTTAAGAAACGAGCTGAAATAAGCTACATTACCTTCCAGTATAGTGAGATAACATTACTTAATAAAACTTAATAAAATAAAACTAAAATATGCCTAAAAATAAGCTCAATCATCTTATAATCAGTGCTCAAGGATCTCAAAATACGAAACAGAATAAAGATAATTTCACTTGACAAGATACTATTTTTTGCAGTGTGAAGTTTGAGTGCTCTTCAGTAACTGTGGACAGAAACTGCCCAGAGGACTTTCATAAACAAGCTGTGCCCCATAAACACAGAGGGACACTGCTAAAAAAAAAAGGGCAGAACATGAAAACAAAGTGGAAAACTTGTAAATAAGCTTTGAATAACTTGTAATTTAGGTCAAAGAGTTTTATCCAGTTCTCTGTGTTAAAAATTTTCTTTTGAAATCTTGGTTTAAATTTTTTTTCAACAAAACTGTAAAAAAATAAGCTGGTTTAAATGGTTTTATGGTCTATTTCACAAATACAGTGTGGAGAAATATTTGTTGAATGACATTTTATTAGCTGTGGTTGTGCTGAATCTGGGGATGTATAACACGTTATGGTTCTCTCAAAAAAAAACAAAAAAAAACGAAAGCACAAAATGCAGGAGTGTACAAAGTCAGAAGCGTCTCACTGTAGGTCTGTTGAACTCAGTGTCTTCTCCAGACATTTATGAAAAATTAAATGTAATAAAAGTTAAGAATGAAGACTACAGAGCGGATGTGGAGCGGGTTTTCTCTGATGTGCGAGTGGTGAGTGGGCAAGCAAAACCCGGAGCGGAGTGGGAGCGGAGTGGGAGCGAGAGCGGCCGCTTCACATACTCTTCAAAAATCATAATTTCCACGTTGGCTCACTCATAATGCATGCAGCTGTTTTTCTCTGGACTGAAAGGCAGTGGAGATCAGGTCACTGTGTTTTTACCTGGGAGTTCAGAAGCAGGAATGTTCTCTCTGTATTTGTAGGCGAGTTCTTTAAAGAAACGAAGCCCGCAGCAGTAACACAGCAGGGAGCTGGCATTGATACGATAATCTGAAAAAGAAAAACACAAAACACACACAAAGAACGCTTTAAAAGGAGATCTGTAACAAGGTCAGGGATAAAATCCATTACAATTCAAACAGCGCAATTTGGAGTATAATCTAAATTCCTATGGAAATTCAGACTTTACAGAAGTTCATGAGTTTCAAATACAAGTCATAAATTAACTGCAGCCTGTAGCTCATTGTTACTACACTCAGCTCAAAAGTTTGGAATCACTTCTCATATTAACAATTTGTATTTGATATACAATAACAAGTATTTTGATATGTTGTCTTTGTAGTATGTTCCTTTAAAAATATGGTTTACATAATTTGCATATGAGTGCATCCTATTTTTATTTACATTCTGCACAGCGTCCCAATGGGGTTGTAATTTAAAAATGAAAACATTAGTTCTTTAACAGATTTCAAGCATAATGATTTAAGCATAATGATTTTGCAAATTGAACCGAAAGGTGATATTAAAATATAAAAGCAAATAATTCTTTTTCTTTGTAAATCCCTACAGCAGCACCATCACTGTGTATTTTACCAGTGAGATGGTAGAGGCCTTGCTGTATGGCCTGAAGAGCTTCCTGTAGCATCTCTCGCCAAGTCTTTCCTCTGGAAGTCAAATAGTTCTGACACACAGGGGAAAAAAAAGAGCAATTATAAACCACACAATGACAGTAAAAAGACCAAAACATAAAAGATCATAAACAAAATCTAGGCAAATTACATTTTACGGTCACATCCTAGAAAACTGCAGTCAAAACAATTAACAACAATTATTAAGAAATATAACGAGGGCTTCATTAACTGAATTACGACTCCTACTTCTACTATCCCCATCCAGTTACTCCGTCTTCTAGTACTCATACTACTATTACTGACTTGTTGTTTTTCTAAGTGAAAGTAAATGAACACATCCTCTACAGTGAACTTAAATATGGCATTTTCCTGCAAATTCTAGCTGCAATTTCTATTCGCTGAGTTTAACATACTGGAAAAAATAAAACATAAAATGCAAAACGTGTCATTACGTTTACACAGACTGCGTTTTTCTATGTTAAATTCTGCAAATAAACAGTAATTGTGTGTTAAAATGAGCAGAAGTGTGTCTCTGTAGAGGATCGGCTATTTTCACAATTCAACAAAACATGTAACATAACTTGACCAGGGGTGCCCAAACTTTTGCATACAACTGTACATGCAGACATAAATATAATACTTTTAATTTAAAGTTGAATATCATATTCCAGAGTTTTACACAGCATAATAAGCAATACACTCGAAAACTATAACACTGTAGTTTATATGAAGACCTAAAATTAAAAGTAATAATGAAAAACAAATTAAATCAAATTAGTACGGAGCCCACAAAAGGACAAGGATTTAAAATAAACAAACAAACAAACAAATAAAAATAAAAATAAACAAGTTTTCTATAATAGGTAACAAAATATATTATTATTATTATGATTAATAATACACTCAAATAAAACTTCCATGATTAAAGCGTTCTTTGCATCGCAAAAGGGTTCTGACTGATGGAAAACATGCTGTAAATGGTTCCATATAGAGGGTTCTATTGAGCACCAAAAACGGTTCTTCTATTGTTACGATGTCAAGCTTGTTACAATAGAAGAACCCTTTTTTTGTGCTATATAGAACCCTTTTTAAAAAGGTCCAATATAGAACCATCTACAGCACATTCTCCATCAATGTGAAGCACAACTGGACTATGCAAAGAAACCCTTCAATCATGCAATGGGTTCTTTAAGGGGTCCATGGCTCTATGTAGAACCATTTTCTTTACTAAAGAACCCTAGAAGAATCTTTTTTAAGTGTGTCGTGCTTAATTTCCATTAGAACAGTTCCAATGGACACCAATGGAACTGTTCTAATGCTTCCAATGGAAGCAGCCCTGAAAAATGGACACCAGACTTGGGGAGATAAAGCAATGCTGCCTGAACGGCGCATTGATGCCATCTAGAGGGCAGAGTGGGTAATACTCAAGTTTTCTCTATGTGTCTTAAATTAATTATCCTAAGAAAATGATCTTGAGATAATAATAACAAAGTAAAAAAGAAAAAAATAAATAAATAAATTAAAATCAAATATTGATGTTTTTAAGTCACCCACCCTGTAAATGTTTTTAAAAACAGTCAAAACATATTTCTGTACTTTAGCTTTTAAACAGTTTATTGTTTCCTTTGTTTCTAGTGAAATATTACTATAACTTATGTTTTTGTTAGTTGCATAATATATATATATATATATATAATATATATATATATATATATATATTTATATATATATTTCTTTTTCTTATATTGTGCTTCTTAATTGTAATTATTAATATATCCCTTTTCTGCTATATATTCTTTTTTATGGTATTTTAGTTTTTATTTTTGATTATCTTTTTTCTCTTCTTCCTCTGTTGTTTCTACTTTGTATTGTGAAACACTTTGAACTGCATTTTTAATGTATGAAAGGTGCTATTAAAATTATCATTATTATTCATTATCATTATCATTATTAACGTTATTATCATTATTGTTATTACTATTAAAAAAAATCCACCATTCTCTCATGAGTTTTCTCTATAAATCTCAACATAATTATCCTGTGAAAATGAGATAATTATCAGAAGGTTACAAAAATCCCCATGTCCTCTCATGGGCTCTGTAATTTAGACTAAATGCATGATAAATTAAAAACATCTAAATTTAAAGTTTAACTAAAGGATTCTTACCTGCAGGATTTCAGACTCATAGTTATTGTTGTTGAGGACTCCATCCAGACATTTAGCCGTGAGGTTCAGATCTGTGGACAGAAACGCAGACGCTTTAAATCAGGCGAACTGAGCTGTGGATGCTGGAGAACCATGATTGTAAGCAGAGGGGTGGAAGGGGATTTCCTTACTGGAGCAACTCCAGCTATAAGGTAGGTGAACACTCAGGGTATAACAACAAAACTAAACAAAACCAGTTACAAAATTAGCATTCTAGGACTTCACCACACTTCAACCAATCAGGGACTTACCACTGAAACGTGCCAGACAACCCTGACAGCCGATTCGCTGGCAGCCCCAGTACAGGTGACAGAACGGCCTCTGGCACACCATACCTGAGAAAGAGGAGACAAAAAACAAATAAATTTAAAATTACATACGCAATAAGATAAAAATAAACCATTTTTGATCAAATTAAGATGCTGTATTACAGAAACATCCTAACTCTGAAATCTTATCTGTTTAGTCTCCATGACGACTTCAGTACGGACTGAATTTCGGACAGTATCTATTCCATAATAACAGTTCCTACCTTCATAATCTCATCATGAACTCCAGATAAGAAAACAGCATCACACAAACATCCTAACTAGACTAAACCTCCTAAATCCTGTCCTAACTTTAGGATGAACCCCAACAGGGTCCTCACTTCTGTTTAAGGTCCGTTTCTATGGTTTTTAGGCAGCTGTGTCAGCAGCATAGTTCACTACCAGCATAATGAGCTCCATTTATTCCTACTGTAAAACGCTGCTTTCACTGTGAGATGATTTTCTTTTCTAACTCTGCGTTTTAAAGATCTCAGACGCTGCAGACTCGATCTCCACCGCCCCTCTGATCACCTTCGTGTGTTAATGTTGATGATGAAATATTACAGTGATGGTGGTGAATAATGAGGAGACGGAGCTGAACGTGTGTCTGTTTATGAGGAGGAGTAACGTTAGCGCGCTCGGCTAAAGCGTTTGGGAAATGGAGACTGAAACTGGGGAGCGGCGACGCTCTGATAAACAGCAGGGGGCGCTCTCACAGCATTCAAGACTTACAGTTTATCACACTTTTGTTTAGTTTGACCTTTTTTACATCAGTAAAGGCAGCTGTGACTCACATTTTTAACATTATTTTGATGACGTGTTTACGTTTCAGCTGTGTATGTATGGTCGGTTGCTAGGCAACAGACATAACAGTGAATTATTGACTTTGATAGAGTAGTTTAAGATTTCCTAACTTTAGATATGATTCAATAAGACAAGATATTCCTAAATTAAGTTAAGCTTTGCTTCTGTTAAACAAACCTGTGAAAAATCTTATCTTGACTTTGTCAGATCTTAACTTAGGAGGAATGATAGAACGGTTCTGTATTACGGTTCCTGGTCCTCAAACCAGTATCAGCAGAAAAAGCTTGAACGTTGAACAGTTGCTATATCCGGTGCAGGAGAGGAAGAGAGGAAGTCTAGCCATTCCCTTACAACAGCACACAGCAGAGCAGCTACTGTTAATTGTTTCGTATATGTTTGCATGATTAAAGTGTTCTTTGCACTGTGAAAAGGTTCTTCAGATTAATGCAGGTTGTGCTGTAGATGGTTCTATATAGAACCTTTTGCAAAGGGTTCTATGTAGCACCAAAAAGGTTTCTTCTATAGTTATGATGTCAAGCTTGTAACAACAGACGAACCCTTTTCAAAAAGGTTCTATATAGAACCATATACAGCACCATCAGCATCAATCTGAAGAACGCTTTCACGATGTAAAGGACCGCTTTAATCATGCAAAGGGTTCTATGAGTGTTCCTGGTTCTATATATAACTATTATTTTACTAAAGAACCCTTAAAGAGCCATTATTTTAAGTGGGTGTGGGTGGGAGTTGTGTGTTGTGTGACAGACACTCACAGTGCTGAGGGGAACCCTGAGGGCCGACATGTTCGGAGCGGCGGTCCGGCATGGGCTGCAGGCAGCAGGTACAGATCAGGTGACCACCCTGAGGAGGACACCTAAACTCCTGAGAGGCTGCAGAGAGAGAGAGAGAGAGAGAGAGAGAGAGAGAGAGAGAGAGAGACAGACAGACAGAGAGAGAGATTAATAAAAGAAGAACCAACTCATTTACATACCTATTCAGCTTACAGCCGTTTAGCCCCGCCCACTCACACTGAGTTCTAAGCAGAGTTTCAGCTCCAAATGCTTTTTGAATGAGGCACAGTACAGGGCAGCCAATCAGAACAGAGATCATTTACATATATTGGTATTAAAGTACAGGGCAGCCAATCAGAACAGAGATCATTTACATATATTGGTATTAAAGGCGCACATACATCAAAGACAAAATCACTCTTTTTTCACTGTTGAATTTCAATATGTGCAGATGTGCCTTACCTGTGCAGGTATCAGTGGATGTTGAGGGGCCGTCTCCTGGTGCTTTCACTGACCCCTCCTCCTGGGAGGAGCTACAGATCCAGGGGGCAGGGCTAAAGTCTTTTCGGTACCCTGGGCACTGCCTACACGTCATGTAGGGTTGGCTGTGGATAAAAGTGAAAAAATTTTTTACAGTTTCAATCAGAACAGAGTGGGCGGCTGACCATTTCCAGCACACTGGGCTCTTCGGGAGGTAAATCTATTCCAGTAGAGCCCAAAAATAAAATTATTAACAATTTAAATGAGCAAATCAGCTGCACAATCAGTTTTCTAGCTACTGTTTAAAAGTAAAAAAGGCATAAATAAACTAAGCAGAAGTGCGTAAAGTGTGTCTGACCTCATGTCTGACGTGTCACTGTCGTTGTCGGAAAGTTCGAACAGGTAATCGGAGCTCCCTTCTTCATCAGAGAAGGAGCGCTCCACCTTCGGCTGCAGCATGTCCTGAGTGATCTTATTACGAGCGTCCATACCGCGCAGATCCTCCTCACTACGACACTTCTCTATTAGAGAGAGAGAGAGAGAGAGAGAGTGAGATAGATAGATTCAAGGCCATGGGCAGTTGAGGTGTGGTGTTTACAGGTCGCGGGTGCAGGCGTGGTGTTTACAGGCAGAAGGAAATGGATATGGTGTATAAAGGCCGATGGAACAGGTGTGGCGTATATAGGCTGAGGGAACAGGTGTGGTGTATACAGGCTGAGGGAACAGGTGTGGTGTTTAAAGGCCGGGGGAGCAGGCGTGGTGTTTAAAGGCCGGGGGAACAGGCGTGGTGTTTAAAGGCCGGGGGAACAGGCATGGTGTTTAAAGGCCGGGGGAACAGGCGTGGTGTTTAAAGGCAGAAGGAAATGGATATGGTGTATAAAGGCCGATGGAACAGGTGTGGCGTATACAGGCTGAGGGAACAGGCGTGGTGTTTAAAGGCCGAGGGAACAGGCGTGGTGTTTAAAGGCCGAGGGAACAGGCGTGGTGTTTAAAGGCAGAAGGAAATGGGTGTGGTGTTTAAAGGCCGAGGGAACAGGCGTGGTGTATAAAGGCCGATGGAACGGGTGTGGCGTATACAGGCTGAGGGAACAGGCGTGGTGTTCAAAGGCCGAGGGAACAGGCGTGGTGTATAAAGGCCGATGGAACGGGTGTGGCGTATACAGGCTGAGGGAACAGGCGTGGTGTTTAAAGGCCGAGGGAACAGGCGTGGTGTATAAAGGCCGATGGAACGGGTGTGGCGTATACAGGCTGAGGGAACAGGCGTGGAGTTCACAGGTCGTGAGTTTACAGGCGTGGGTGCAGGCAGGGTTTAAAGACAGAGGAAATGGGTGTGGTGTATAAAGTTCGATGGGAACAGGTGTGGCGTATACAGGCCGAGGGAACAGGTGTGGTGTATAAAGGCCGAGGGAACAGGTGTGGTGTATAAAGGCCGAGGGAACAGGTGTGGTGTATAAAGGCTGAGGGAACAGGCGTGGTGTTTAAAGGCCGAGGGAACAGGCGTGGTGTTTAAAGGCCGAAGGAAAGGGTGTGGCGTATACAGGCCGAGGGAACAGGCGTGGTGTTTAAAGGCCGAGGGAACGGGCTGTGGCGTATACAGGCTGAGGGAACAGGCGTGGTGTTTCAAAGGCCGAGGGAACAGGCGTGGTGTTTAAAGGCCGAGGGAACAGGCATGGTGTACAAAGGCCGATGGAACGGGTGTGGCGTATACAGGCTGAGGGAACAGGCGTGGAGTTTACAGGTCGTGGAGTTTACAGGTCGTGGGTGCAGGCATAGGGTTTAAAGACAGAAGGAAATGGGTGTGGTGTATAAAGTTCGAGGGAACAGGTGTGGCGTATACAGGCCGAGGGAACAGGTGTGGCATATAAAGGCCGAGGGAACAGGTGTGGTGTATAAAGGCCGAGGGAACAGGTGTGTATAAAGGCTGAGGACAGGTGTGTATAAAGGCGAGGGACGTGTGGGAAAAGCCGAGGTGTGGTACATAAAGGCTGAGAGAACAAGTGTGGTGTTCACCTGGGTGCTGCTGCAGGTACGCCTCCACCAGGTTGTTGAGGATGTGGTTTTTTCGGATTCTCTCCACAGGACAGCGACAGGTGGGGCAGAGAGAGGATCGCTCCATCCAGCCAGAATAACACGCTGCACAGAAGGTGTGCATGCAGGGCTGCAGACTACAAACACAGAGACTTAAAACGGCACTGCTAACGCTTTTAAAAAGAACCTCAGCACTGCTGTGTCTGATCCACTCGCACCAGCACAACACACACTAACACAGTGTTACTGCAGTGCTGAGAATGATCCACCACCCAAATAGTACCTGCTCTGTAAGGGGCCAAGGGGGTCCTGACCACTGAAGAACAGGGTGAAAGGGGGCTAACAAAGTATCAGAGAAACAGATGGACTACAGTCTGTAACTGTAGTACTACAAAGTGCACCTATATAGTAAGTGGAGCTGATAAAATGGACAATGAGTGTAGAAACAAGGAGGTGGTCAGAATGTTAGGCGTAGTGTATAGAGAAAATGTCTTAAAATGTTGTGAGGTTAAAACCCTAATTTTAGAGCACAATTTCTAGTTTTTGAAGAGTTTAACAAATTGTAAAAAAACAAAATAATGCCATAAAATGTGTCGTCATTTTACAACATTTTATGTTTCATTTTTCTTCCCACTGCCTCAAATTCAGTAAATAAAACAGTAGGTGTGCATATTTTGCACACAACTGTATTTGACATACTGCTCACCCTAATAGAGACCTCTGGTAATAACGTTGCTGGTATTTGTTATATTATTATTAGTGTACTCTAACGATATCCCTCAGTATATCTGTATGAACCTCCAAAAAGCTAAGCATTAAATGTGTGCATTAAACATGCTGCCTCACCTGACGCAGTCGTATAGCAGGTCCTGGCAGATGATGCAGGTGAGTGACTCCTCCATCTTGTCAGTTTTCTCTCCGTCCTTCCCTGTTTTAGCAGGAGCTGCAGAGTCGCTGATGGAGGAGCCCAACTCGTGTGGGTCATCTGAGGAGGAGATAAATAGAAAGAGAAAGAAAATTATTTATAAAATGTTATTTATAAAAAGAAAAAGTATTTATTTTTGTCTATTTCACCATCATAAACAGGCACTATAATAAGCAATGTTTGATTTTCACCGTTGCTTTTCAAAAAATAACTAAATTTTAAAAAAATCACTCCAAAGATGCTGTTAACACAAAGCAGCTGTGTTATTTACCTTAATAATGCAGACCCAGCTTTATTAATGATGACTGCATTAGTACTAATGTGTTACTGCATTAGTGCTTACTTGTAAGCTTAATTAGTGCCAACTTAAAGGCAAGGCAGGTTTATTAATATAGCACCTTTTCATACACTGCTGTCATTCCAAGTGCTTTACGAATGAGAAAATACAGTCAGAAAATAGAGTTGTTTAAAAAATAAATGAGAAGAGAAATTAAAAACATAATTAAAACAATAGATTTGAAAGAGAAAATCACTGAATTAAAAATCAAACTAGAAATTAAATTAGGATAGTTAAAATGAAAAGTTATGAATTAGTAAAATTGTCAAGAATTAAAAAGTTAAAAATAAAATAAAACTAGGATAGATCAAATTAAAAAGTAAAAGTTAGATTAGGATAAAAAAAAGTGCCATTACAGAGGAAAAGGGGCTGGAAAAACAGTGTTTTAAACTTTACTAACCCTTTAAGGATCAACATTGCACCGGTGAAACGTTTAGGACAAACTGTGTTTGACCTTGAACAACTTTACAATCATTAGCAATATTAAAAAACTTCAAATTCCACCTTAAACTATAGATTCAGAGCTTTCTGACACAACGCCACGTGTTATTTCTATGAATTTCCAGACCTAAAATTTTTACAACCTGAATTTCCAGACCTGAATTTTACAATCTGAATTTCCAGACCTACATTTTACAATCTGAATTTCCAGACCTAAATTTTACAACCTGAATTTCCAGACCTGAATTTTACAATCTGAATTTCCAGACCTGAATTTTACAATCTGAATTTCCAGACCTAAATTTTACAACCTGAATTTTACAACCTGAATTTCCTGACCTAAATTTTACAAACTGAACTTCCAGACCTGAATTTTACAACCTGAATGTCCAGACCTAAATTTTACAACCTGAATGTCCAGACCTGAATTTTACAACCTGAATGTCCAGACCTGAATTTTACAATCTGAATTTCCAGACCTAAATTTTACAACCTGAATTTCCAGACCTAAATTTTACAACCTGAATTTCCAGACCTGAATTTTACAATCTGAATTTCCATACCTGAATTTTACAACCTGAATTTCCAGACCTAAATTTCACAACCTGAATTTCCATACCTGAATTTTACAACCTGAATTTCCAGACCTGAATTTCACAACCTGAATTTCCATACCTGAATTTTACAACCTGAATTTCCAGACCTGAATTTTACAACCTGAATTTCCAGACCTAAATTTTACAATCTGAATTTCCAGACCTCAATTTTACAACCTGAATTTCCAGACCTGAATTTTACAACCTGAATTTCCAGACCTGAATTTTACAATCTGAATTTCTTAACCTGAAAAAGCATCAGGAATTCAGGTTCAGGTTCTGGTGACACTGATTTAACTCCCACCTGTTCTCTGTCTCTTCTTGTCTGGCCCCGCCCCCTCGTCCATCTCTCTCGTCTGCTTCAGCGTGAGGCTTTTTGGGGTGGAGACTCCGGTGCTGCACTCTGGAACTTTCTGCCGGATCGCTGACGGCTCTGTTAGAGTCACATCACCGTAACCTGCAAAACACACCGACCTTAGATCACAGTCGTATTTACAGGAAAACAAAACAAAAACAAAAACAATTTGCTAACCATCCACATCAACATTATCACTGATGAAAATGTTCACTGACAAAGAGTTCTTTCACTTAATTAGACAGAATACACAAGTCAGTTTGTGAAATTTCTGTCGTGCTGTAGCTGTAGACCACGTAAACTCTCAGAGTGGGGGGAGTACTGAAGAGCACAGTGTCTATCCGCTACTGAATCACTCATTAAAGAGTTCCAAACTGCCTCTGGAAGCAACATCAGCAAAAGAACTGCATGTTAGGAGCTTCACGAAATGGGTTTCCATGGCTGAGCAGCTGCACACAAGCCATCAAAATGCGCAATGCCAAGTGTCGGCTGGAGTGGAGTAAAGCGCCGCCACTGGACTCTGGAGCAGTGGAAACGTGTTCTCTGGAGTGACGAATCAGCTTCTCTATCTGTCAGTCTGATGGACGAGTCTGGGTTTGGCGAATGCCAGGAGAACGTTACCTGCCTGACTGCACTGTGGCAGCTGTAGAGTTTGGTGGAGGAGGGATGATGATATGGGGCTGTTTTTCAGGGGTTGATCTAGAACCCTCAGTTCCAGTGAAGGGAATCTTAATGCCTCAGCACCAAGACATTCTGGACAGCTGTACGCTTCCAACTTTGCGGGAACAGTCTGGGGAAGAACCTTTTCTGTTCCAGCATGACTGAGCCCCAGTGCACAAAGCAGCTCCATAAAGGCCTGACTGGGTGAGTTTGGCGTGGAAGAACTTGACTGGCCCTCACAGAGCCCTGACCTCAACCCCATCAAACTACTGGGACCAAGGGCTGTCCCCTTCAACCCCAGGCCTCCAACATAATACTATGAATAAACAAAAAGAAATCTTTTAATACCGGCTTAACACTTAGAACAGTCATTAGTGTAGGTTCTCAAAAGATGTCAAAAATGAAAGAGTCTTCAGATGCTGAGTTTGTGAAAGAGGGAAAAGTCTTCTTCTTTATTTCAGCATCAAGTGGCACAGAGTCTCAAGAGACCCAACTGTGCAAATACAGTGTTCCAAACAACAGTTTATATACTACTTATCTGGGGTAGTTTGATATCCCCCCGCCTAACTGCTCATATTTTGAAATTAGCTTATTCTCTAATAGGTGCATCTCTTCATCCATCGATTTGGCCACCACATGTTGAGCTCACTCCTAAAAACTGGCTTCAACAGGTTTTTACCAGCCTGCTCTACCTTTCAAGATCAACTTGCCCCTCTCTTCACTGGGTCAGTAGGTACACACAGGCCTCTCTGTGAACCCAGCTGCTTTCCAGTGTCTAGAATCTCCTATGCAGACAGTCTAAGGTCGACCCTTTGTGAGAAAATTAATATTCTCTGTTAGCCAATACTACCTATTTCATTATTGATTACAATATCTAATCTATTTGATTACTGATTAAGGGTATATTTATTAAAAATCTCCTTCAGAACACCTTTGGGATGAACCTGAATGGAGACCGTGAGCCAGGCCCTCTCGTCCAACATCAGTGTGGAAGCTGTTATAGCTGAAAAGGGGGACCAACTCCATATTAGTGCCTATGGATTTAGAATGGGACTCATATAAGCTTCTGTGGGTGTAATTTGGAGGTGTCCCAATACTTTTGTCTATATGGTGTATGCTTAGTGTCTGAGGTTTGTCAGCATTCACTGACAGTGTGAACTCCTACTTGTGGCAGCGACGGTGTGCGTGTACAGCGTTGGGTAGAGATGGGCGCCGGAGCCGGAGGTGCTTGGCTGGTCCTCGTATCCCGGAAGAAGCTGCTTCTCCAGAGGAAAACTGGGGAGAGTAACGGGCTCCACCGGAGCAGGATCCACATCCGGATCAATGAGATCCATCACAGCAGAGCAGCTGTTCCTCACAGCGTCTAAAACACAAACACAACAGCTTTAATCAGTCCTGAGAACCCAAACACAGTCCAACAACATTCTGTCTAAACCAGTGCGGCCACTGTCCATTATATCGGTAATCAACTAATCTACCTAAAAAAAAGATGGTTCTTCAAGGGTCATATTTAGAACCACAAGTTTTATATTAGAACCATTTGATGCTTAAATGGTTCTTTGCATGGTGAAATGGTTCTTCATATTGGAGAATGTGTTGTATATGGTTCTATACAGCACCAAAAAGGGTTCTTCTACTGTTACAAGCGTAATACTGTAACTGTAGCAGAACCATTTTGGTGCTATACAGAATCATTTTCTAAAATGTACCATATGGAACCATATGCAAATTGGATCTTTCAGATTTTAAAGTACTTACTGAAAGATGTTGCTCTGCCTACTTTGTTAGCCCCCTTTTACCCTGTTCTTCAGTGGTCAGGACCCCCATGGACCCTCACAGAGCAGGTACTATTTGGGTGGTGGATCATTCTCAGCACTGCAGTAACACTGATGTGGTGGTGGTGTGTTAGTGTGTGTTGCGCTGGTCTGAGTGGATCAGACACAGCAGTGCTGCTGGAGTTTTTAAACACCTCAGTGTCGCTGCTGGACTGAGAATAGTCCACCAACCAAAAATATCCAGCCAGCAGTGTCCTGTGGGCAGCGTCCTGTGACCTCTGATGAAGGACTAGAGGATGACCAACACAAACTGTGCAGCAGCAGATGAGCTATCGTCTCTGACTTTACATCTACAAGGTGGACCAACAAGGTAGGAGTGTCTAATAGAGTGGACAGTGAGTGGACACAGTGTTTAAAAACTCCAACAGCACTGCTGTGTCTGATCCACTCAGACCAGCGCAACACACACTAACACACCACCACCACATCAGTGTTACTGCAGTGCTGAGAATGATCCACCACCCAAATAGTACCTGCTTTGTGAGGGTCCATGGGGGTCCTGACCACTGAAGAACAGGGTAAAAGGGGGCTAACAAAGTATCAGAGAAACAGATGGACTACAGTCTGTAACTGTAGAACTACAAAGTGCACCTATATAGTAAGTGGAGCTGATAAAATGGACAATGAGCATAGAAACAAGGATCTTTTAGGTAGATCTGATGAGCCACTTTTTACAGTGTATATACATACATAAATATGTACATACACACACACACCCATTATAGTGCTCATTGTGTAGCACTAAAATCAAAAAGCAATACAGACTATCGCCCAACCCTGCTTTAGAGGAAAAAAAATAAATCAAACATTACTCAGAAAATTTAAAAATAAGTGAACTTTTGGCAGGAAGTGAATCCTGTAATCAGGTTAGAACCATGATAAGATGTAATGAAGCAGATAAATAAATTCACTCACCTTCAGTATCCTGAGAGTCCGTCTGCTTGGGACTGATGGCCTGATACACATAAGCAATATCTGTAAAACAACAACATCTGCTTTTACTAAGATTCTCTACCAGCACCTACTGAACATTATAGAGCAGGGCATGCAGAACAATCAGCTTCAAGTAAAATAATTAGCTACCTTACCGATTATTATTATTATACAGTTAAAAAAAAACATGATCCGTTTCCGAGTTTGTGCAGTGAAGAAAGGTTCATTTTTATAGCTTAATATCAACAAATCTACAGAGATGGCGACTGACTGTATATGAGAGATTAATGACATTCATCCAACAGTGATCGGTGTTTAACTGGTTGGAAGGATTATTAATTACTAATATCTTGACACTAATATCTGTGGAGATTTTCACAAAATGTTGCTTGTATGGACTAGGCCTTTCAGAAACTAGGGTTCTTCTACTGCTACAAGTTTGACGTTGTAACAACAGCAGAACACTTTTCTTGGTGCTATATAGAACCATTTTCAAAAAGGTATTATACAGAATCATGAATCTGAAGAACCACTGTGCAGAGAACAATTTAAGCAAGAAATGGATCTATATAGATATCATGGTTCTATATAGAACCATTGCCTTTAGTAAAGAACCCTTGAAGGACCATCTTTTTAATGTGCACTGTTTTAACTCAACTTAAACAAGATCAGCATTTAGCAAACTCAGAGTTAAAACCTAGTATTTATAGCACAGCATGCAAAACACCTATTTAAAAAGAGAAAAGACAAAGAAAGAAAGACAGACAAAGAAAGAAAGAAAGAAAGAAAGAAAAAAAGAAAAAGAGAAAGAAAGAGAGAAAGAAAAGAAGAGAGAAAGAGAGACAGGTAAAGAAAGAAAGAGAAAGAAAAGGAGAAATAGAGAAAGAGAGACAGAAAGAAAGAAAGAGAAAAAAAGAGAAAGAAAAGGAGAGAGAGAGAGACAGGCAAAGAAAAAAAGAGAGAAAGAAATAGAAAGAAAAGGAGAGAGAAACAGAGACAGGTAAAGAAAGAAAGACAGAGAGAAAGAAAAACAAACAAAGAGAGAAAGAAAAGGTGAGAGAAAGAGTGACAGGTAAAGAAAAAAGAAAGAAAGAAAAAGAAAGACAGACAGACAGAAAAAAGAAAGAAAGAAGGACAGAGAAAGAAAAGTAAAGAAAGAAAGAGAGAAAGAAAAAGAGAAATAGAGAAAGAGAGACAAAAACAAAAAGAGAAAAAAAGACAAAGAAAAGGAGAGAGAAAAAGAGACAGGTAAAGAAAAAGAAAGACAGAAAGAAAGAAAGAGAAAGAGAGAAAGAAACAAAGAAAGAAAGAGAAAGAAAATGAGAGAGAAATAGAGACAGGTAAAGAAAGAAAAGGAGAGAGAGACAGGTAAAGAAAAAGAAAGAAAGAAAAAGACAGACAGACAGACAGACAGAGAAAAAAGAAAGGACAGAGAAAGAAAAAGAGAAAGAGAGAGAGAGAGAAGAAAGAGAGAAAGAAAAAGACAGAAAGAGAAAGAAAGAAAAAAAAGAAAGCAAGAAAGAGAGAGAGAGAAAAAGAGAAATAAAGACAGAAAGACAGAGAGAGAGAAAGACCCGGTCAGTGCGTGTCGTACTCTGCTCTGGTTCACTCTTCCTGTACACAAAGTAGATGACGTCTCCGTTCTGCAGCAGGTGGCTCTGTTTCTTCACCAGTTTGGACATGTTTATTACTGTGCCGTTAGTGCTGGAGGAAACAAACAGGAGAGCGAATTACCAAATAAGTACAGCGGTATTGGTTCACTACTTAAACACAAAGCTACTACATGAGACGGTTATGAATTCACTGCCTGATATCGGACACTTTGTTTTAAGGTAGTTTTGAGAAGATTTTGGCCTTAAAATCCATTCATGGTGGAGGGATACATAATACGTAGGGCGCTGTGAGGCAAAATAGTCCCCAAAGAAAACTTATTATTTCAGATTTTCCACTATTTTCCATCATCAACATTCCATATAAACTCAGAAGACTCGTGTAGGTTCACTGGTGGGTCTGGATAGTAAATAAAATGTCTATATTTGTGTTGTAGTCATGGCGACCCCTGGTTCCTATCACCACCACTGTAAAGACATCTGAACCATTTCACACCAAACCACCCTGAATCAGGTACGCAGGTGCTCTCTCACCTCATGTCCTCGAGCCACACCTGCCCTGAGGTCTGATCTTGTGTGATTTTGCAATGATCTCCTGAGACCAGCTTATTAGCAGGAAAGGAAAGATCACAACCTGGAAAACAAACACATAATTATAAACATTAATTAAAAACATATTTAAGCAGTAGGACCTGAGAGGGAGTGTGTGATCGCGAAATTGGCGATAACACACTCCTCGAGTGTTCTATTGCTTTAATACAACAGTTAAATAAATACAGTAATAAATTAATAAACTGGGCCGTGAACGCGGCGTTTAATATGTTTTAATGTTCGCAGTTCCTTCACCAAGTTATAGTTGTGTATAGTTAGTGTATAGTTCCTTACACTAAATTCCCAAACTGTCATCACCACTGAGCAGCTTTTCAGTCGGCAGCTGTGACAGAAGAACAGCTAACCAACCTGGAATCAGCCAGAAATGAACCAACACCATTCGCCAAACGTGTAGTCTGATCTTCAGAGTCTGACCAAATCAGACTGAGCCATAAAACTGCCGCAATATCAAGTTCAGCTCAGTTTTGTCAGTTTTTGCCAGATCAGTATTAATGTTGTTTTGTTCCAGCCAGTCTGTAAAGCATCTTACAGCCCATTTAGTTTGGCGAATGGTGTTGGGTTCATTCAGTTTGGTTGCCTCTGATTGGTCTAAATCATCCACAGGCAGTTCACAAGCTGTGTTATTAGGTTAAATTTCCACACTTAAAACTTTTGATAACGCAGGCTTTAAAATTGCAGATTTAAAAATTGTGATTTCGATATAAAAACGATTAATCGTTACTCATTAGGCATCCAAAAGTGGTTCCACTCTCCCCCCCCCACTTTATTTTGGTGTGAAACTTCCTTATTGTGCCTTCTGTTCACCTTCCATCTGGAGAAATAATGATTTAATAACACTAAAATGTACGCTTACGTCTGATACCCAAACACGTGAGACCTCAGCGTCGGGTTAACACAGCTCAGCCAGACGTATGAATTTATATCACTTCATTTTAAGTTGGGAAGCAGACATTAAAGTGCACAAAACGAGACAGACGTAGACGGAGTCACGGAGACAGAACCGTCCCACACAAAAACCTACTTAATATTCCGCACGCATGGGCTCAATAGACGCCTTTGTTATTATTGGTGGGGAGGGGGTTGCCTGAGTTTGCTGAACTAAAGAGGGTATTGTGCACGGCATGAACTCACTGAATAAAGTCCAGACACTCCTGAAGGGTGACTAGAACGTCTCCCACAGAACAGTTCTGACAAAGGGTTGGAAAAGAGTGGAACTAAAGAGGCTGATTTCCAAGCATTCGTCAAAAATGCCAAAAGTGTCCTGGAAAGCGTCAGAATTCCTTTAGTTACAAAATTCCTTTCTTTTTCTAAAACTTATCTGCATAAACACACTGCATTAAGACACTACAGCCCACGTTTGTGTGTCCTGACATTGCATTCGCACAACATAACCCAACTTTCCTTCTCACTATGCTGCATTAAAACAGTATAAACCACAATTATTTGTTGCAACAGTGCATTAAGAAAAACACCCCCAACCTTTCCTTGGTTTAAAACTGGATAAAAACCATTGTGACTCAATTTTTTTATAGAGACATCGCAATAAAGTAGTACAAACCAATTTTAATTGCCTCAATATTGCATTAAAAGAACATTAACCACATTTATTTGTCCCAAAAGTGCTTTAAAAAAATATCCCCTACCTTTTCCTCAGTCTAAACATGCATAAAAATACATTGTGACTCAACTTTTCTTATACAAATATTACAATTAACAGTATAAACCAATTTTAATTGCCCCAATATTGCATTAAGGTGGGATAACTCACCATTTCTTGTAGAAATAATGCATTCAAATGGTATAGCTCACCTTCCCTTATCCTAATATTAAATTAAAACAGTATGACCCACCTTAATTTACCCAAATTGTGCATTAAAACCCACCTCTACGTGCTCGAAAAGTGCAAAAAAAATGTAAATCCCAGTTTTTTTTTGTCCTATTGTAGCATTACAGTATAAGTATCAGTTGCTTCTTTACATACACTTTCTAAGCAATTCTTTAAAGAACTATTTGCATAAACAAGATGTGCAATAATGTATATGTTCTACAGCATTTAAGCGTTTTTCTGACACAAGAACCATTTAAGAATCCATGTTTAAAGATCGTCGTGCATTAAGTCAGTAAAGTACTTGTAGCAATATTGCATAAAAACAGTATTATCAGATTTTTTCCACTGATATTAAAATTAGTATAAACTACAAACTTAGAGTGTGTTTACATGTACTCAATAATCTGATAACTGCAGAAAATCGGATTGTGTCTGTAACTGATTGCGTGTTTACACTTAATCTGATAACTGCAGAAAATCAGATGGTGTCAGTAACCGGTTCAGTGTGTTTACACTTAATAATCCGATAACTGCAGAAACTCTGACTGCGTCAGTAACTGGTTCAGTGTGTTTACACTTAATAATCTGATAACTGCAGAAAATCAGATTGTGTCAGTAACTGGTTCAGTGTGTTTACACTTAATAATCTGATAACTGCAGAAAATCAGATTGTGTCAGTAACTGGTTCAGTGTGTTTACACTTAATAATCTGATAACTGCAGAAAATCAGATCGTGTCAGTAACTGGTTCAGTGTGTTTTCATGCTCTTGGGTAAACAGATAATGGGGAAAATCCCGGTTTACATGAGTCAGACAGTAATCGGATTTCTGCTTTACAAGCAGCCAATAAACTCACAGAGGAAGACGTGATGTTAACGTAAAACTCAAATGTCAGCCTGTGCCTTTTTTTTAGCTAAAAATATGAACATACATCATCTAGAAGATGAAGAACATTTAAATCCTTCATTTCGTCAAGGATGTATTTGGTTTCAGCGTCGCTCCAAAAGTGTTGTGCTGTGTTAAACGCTGCTCGCTGTTTCTGGGACAGCGCTCTATTTTCAAACATGCTCAGGCTGAGAGAAACGAAAGAAATCAGAGTGAGAGTTTAACTCCAAAACTGAGCTCAAATCCAGCCTCTTTACCAGATTTCTTAATCAGATTTATAGACCTTAATCGATAAGAAATCGTTGTGTGCTGTTTAAACGGCCACTTAATAATCAGATAACTGCAGAATTCAGATTATGATGGTATTAAGTGTATGTAAACACACTCAGTGTTTAAATCGTATAGTCTACCTTACTTGTTTCTCGTCTTGATATTGCATTAAAACAGTAAAACCCACTGTTTCTTGCTCTGAAGATGTATTAAAATAGCACAGTCTACATTAACATTACCAATACTTGCACCAATGTTGCATTAAAACAGTGTAAGTCACATTTACTTGTTTCAATATTGCACTAAAACAATATAACCCACATTTCCTTGGCCTGATGTACTGCACTAAACCAGCATAGCCCACCATTTCTTGCCCAGAAATCACAATAAAATGGCACAAACTACCTTTACTTTTACCAACAGTTTAACCAGTATTGCATTAAAACAGTATAACTCACCGTTTATTGTCTTAATATTGCATTAAAGCAGTATAACCCACAATTTCTTGTCCTAATATTGGATTAAAACAGTATAACTCGCCGTTTATTGTCTTAATACTGCATTAAAGCAGTATAACCCACAATTTCTTGTCCTAATATTGGATTAAAACAGTATTACTCGCCGTTTATTGTCTTAATATTGCATTAAAGCAGTATAACCCACAATTTCTTGTCCTAATATTGGATTAAAACAGTATAACTCGCCGTTTATTGTCTTAATACTGCATTAAAGCAGTATAACCCACAATTTCTTGTCCTAATATTGGATTAAAACAGTATAACTCGCCGTTTATTGTCTTAATACTGCATTAAAGCAGTATAACTAACCGTTTATTGTCTTGATATTGGATTAAATCAGTATAACTCTCCGTTTATTGTCTTGATATTGGATTAAAACAGTATAACTGTTCGTTTATTGTCTTGATATTGGATTAAAACAGTATAACTGTTCGTTTATTGGCTTGATATTGGATTAAAACAGTACACCTATCCGTTTATTGTCTTGATACTGGATTAAAACAGTATACCTGTCCGTTTATTGTCTTGATATTGGATTAAAACAGTATAACTGTTCGTTTATTGTCTTGATATTGGATTAAAACAGTATACCTGTCCGTTTATTGTCTTGATATTGGATTAAAACAGTATACCTGTCCGTTTATTGTCTTGATATTGGATTAAAACAGTATAACTGTTCGTTTATTGTCTTAATATTGCATTAAAGCAGTTTAACTCGCTGTTTTTTTTATCTGAGAGTGTATTAAAATGGTACAGTCTACCATGATTTTTACCAATATTTGTGCCAATATCACAGTAAAACAGCGCAACCCACCTTTCCTCCTGCCGATAGTGCATTCTCGGTTGGTCAGCAGTAGTGTTAGTTCAGTCTGTGGAGACGCTCCCACCCTGACTAGCTTCCCCCACGGCCGCCCTCTGCTCTCCGGATCCATCTTCCTCGTCTCAGCCGGTCAGACTTCAGGTCACACACATCTAAACAGAGCACAACATCTGCACTCTTAAAAAGATGATCCTTCAAGGCTTCTTTAGTAGGTTCTATTTAGAACCATGAGTTCTATATGGAACCATGTGCATGCTCAAACGGCTCTTTGCATGGTGAAACAGCTCTTCAGACTGATGGAGAACGTGCTGTATATGGTTCTATATAGCAGCACAAAAAGGACTCTTCTATTTTTACGACCCTTTCTAGTGCCATCTAGAACCATATCCAAGATTCTCCATCGATCTGAGGAACTATTTCACCATGCAAAGCACCCCCTTTATTAAAGAACCCTTGAAGAACCATCTTTTTTTTTTAAAGTGTGCTCAAAATTCATAAGAATTTATGGTCATGTGTTCAAGAGGAACTACACAGTGATGAGTTCAGCAGTTTCAAATGCTTCTATTAATAATGACTAGCACTACTGACCAATGGACTCATTCTTACTGATATTTCCTTACATTTTCAACTACTTAAAAGTATTTTCAACTATTAGGAGCACAAATAAATCACTGTTACAGTTTCAAACAAACCGGGCTGGTTTTAAACCTAAACTACTCATTTTACAGGTTTGAAATAAACTAAATAAACTAGTTTTCTCGCTGATTATCTTAAGGTAGAGTTTTAAATGAGCTCCTTTAATATCTTACTGACATAGGGAAATAAGCTTTAATTATATTGGTCTTTTTACTGAGCTGGTTTTCCTATTTGCCAGCTTCTTGTTTCCCCGTTCCACCTTAAATGGTGCAGCAGTTACATATACTTGCTGCACCATTTAAGTTGGAACGGGATGATGTGAAAACAAAGCTGGCGAATAAGAATAGGAAGCTGAACTGCATTAAATCTGCATTGTTAATTAGGTCTTTATCTGTTTGTGACGATGTGAGACAACAAACAAGTCTAAAACCGCTGAATTTGGTTTAAAGTCTGCTCCAGCCAAAAACTACATCCAGCGTTAGCCGGCTAACAGCGTTAGCCAGCCCGCTAACCCCGGAGCAGTAAAACAACAGTGTGCTGGACAAACAGTCAGTGCAGCTGATTTGTGTTGTCAGTCAGAGTTTATTAAGCTTGTTTAAAACTACAGTGAACGAATAAAACGGCGCTCAGAGGGAGTTAGCTTAGTTAGCGTAGCTAGCCTAGGAACAGCGCTTTAAACAGCAGCGTTAGCTCTGCTAGCTCAGCAACCTTAACCACACACTTTACCCTTAAAACAAACTTCTCCGATTAAACCAAACTGAAAAACTGCATTCAGACAGAAAAAAACGAAGCACGAAGTCAATCCGAGTCATTTTTACCTCTCAGTTTGATCCGCACTGCTGCTCCAATGTTTTCATTCCTTCAGCACTTCCTGCCAAAGCAGAGGCAGAGTCCTGTTTACTTACTTATACTCTCTCTCTCTCTCTCTCTCTCTCTCTCTCAGCCAGTCTCTCTCTCTCTCTCTCTCTCTCTCTCTCTCTCTCTCTCTCTGTTTCTCACTCAGCCAGAGTCTCTCTCTCTCTCTCTCTCTCTCTCTCTCTCTCTGTTTCTCACTCAGCCAGAGTCTCTCTCTCCTCTCTCTCTCTCTCTCTCAGCCAGTCTCTCTCTCAATTCAATTCAATTCAATAAGCTTTATTGGCATGACCATATTCATTTACAGTTTTGCCAAAGCATCATCAAAAAGAACCAGAAGAATTAACATTTAGAACATAGAGCTTTAGAACAAGAGCATAAGAACTCTTAATTTCATTTGATATAAGAATAATTATGATAAGAATCACATAAAATAATAGCAAAAATAGTGCTTTGGAATTGAGTTGTAAAGAAAAATTAAGAGGAAAAATAAATAATAAAAAACAGGGCAGTTTTAGATATCTTGCGCACGTGTGTGTGTGTTTCTCACTCAGCCAGAGTCTCTCTCCCTCTCTCTCTCACTCACTCAGCCACTCTCTCACTCTCTCTCTCACTCAGCCAGACTCTCTCTTTCTCTCTCACTCACTCAGCCAGAGTTTCTCTCCCTCTCTCTCTCACTCACTCAGCCACTCTCTCACTCTCTCTCTCACTCAGCCAGACTCTCTCTTTCTCTCTCACTCACTCAGCCAGAGTTTCTCTCTCTCCCTCTCTCCCTCTCTCACTCAGCCACTCTCTCACTCTCTCTCTCACTCAGCCAGACTCTCTCTTTCTCTCTCACTCACTCATTCTCTAACTAAACCAGAGTGTCTCTCTCTTTCTCTCTCTCTCTCTCTCTCTCTCTCTCTCTCTCTCTCTCTCTCTCTCTCTCTCTCTCTCTCTATTCAAATTCAAGTTTCTTTATTGGCATGGCTGTCTTAAAGGGGAATTCCACCAATTTCTCAAAGTTTCAGAATGTAGCCATTTTATTTACTATCCAGAACCACCAGTGAACCTACACGAGTCTTCTGAGTTTATATGGAATGTTGATGATGGAAAATAGTGGAAAATCTGAAATAATAAGTTTTCTTTGGGGACTATTTTGCCTCACAGCGCCCTGCATGTATCCCTCCACCATGAATGGATTAAAACATTATCACAAAACTATCGTAAAACAGTGTCTTAGACATCAGTATTTATAACCATTTTGTGTAATAACTTAATATATATAATATTAAGATAAGAAACAGTGAGTTATACTGTTTTAATGCAATATTGGTGCAAGTAAAGTAAAGGCAGACTGTGGCATTTTAATGCATTTTCAGTACAAAAAATGCTGAGTTATATTGTTGCAATGCTGGTACAGGTATAATAGGCCATACTGTTTCAATGCACTTTTATTGCAATTTCTATGTAGAAATTTTATAAAATTGGTGGAATTCCCCTTTAAGATAATACACTATGAATGATTCTCATTGTATAAGATAATCACAAGTTATATTAAGAAGGTAAAATGGTGAAGAACAGAAATGTCGCACTGTTGGTCCGACGTGATGCGATACTCCACATTTCTCTCATTTCAGGTCAGTTCAATTTAAATTAATTCAATTCAGAACAAATAATGGTATATTTGAATTTTCAAAGCTTGCGTTACAAAGTCTGTAAATAATCTTGAACATTATTTAGCAATAATGTGGCCAAATATCAAAAAATATAGATTAATTTTCGTTATATATGATGCAATGTTGCAATGTTTAATGCTAAAGACGAACAAATGATTTATATAATAATGAATTAATTAATGAGTAATAATTGTGCCAGGCCTACCCACAGTGTTTTGTAAGTTTACTATATCACTACAAATTATGTACATTTTTATAGTTTTCTTAATTGCATACATACACCAATCAGGCCTAACATTCTGACCACCTCCTTGTTTCTACGCTCATTGTCCATTTTATCAGCTCCACTTACTATATAGGTGCACTTTGTAGTTCTACAGTTACAGACTGTAGTCCATCTGTTTCTCTGATACTTTGTTAGCCCCCTTTTACCCTGTTCTTCAGTGGTCAGGACCCCCATGGACCCCCACAGAGCAGGTACTATTTGGGTGGTGGATCATTCTCAGCACTGCAGTAACACTGACGTGGTGGTGGTGTGTTAGTGTGTGTTGCGCTGGTCTGAGAGGATCAGACCAAATCCTACCAACAGCAGTGGTGGACAGTAACTCAGTAAATGTAATTCGTTTCTGTACTTAAGTAGTTTTTTCGTGTATCTGTACTTTACTGAAGTGTTTCCATTTTGGGTGACTTTTTACTTTCACTCCACTACATTATGAGAAATCTGTTGTTCCTTTTGGTTTATGTGTGTATAAAAACGTAACATGTCAAAACTAAAGAAGAGCAAAGCAAGAACACCAATCAGGGCACAGCGGTCACTTTGTTTTGAGCTTGTTTTGACCTGTTGGTCATACCGACCCAGTGCAGCACACGGTTCAACATCAGTGCAGCAGCGTAAAACTTTGGGAGAGTCTATTCAACATAAATGATGAACTAACCTAACTTTGTGTAAACAGACCACAGTATAGAAATATGTACTCATATGCAGTTGAGACTGACGTGTCTTTTTTCTGAATTTATACAAACACATTTCATTTTATAGTAAATTAGTTTTGTCTAGTTTATGTTTATGAACAGAGACCTACAGATGCAGTTTAGTAAAGGAAACTCATTTGTGAATCTGAGTTTAACGTTTTTATTAAACTTAAACTTGTAAATAAATCTTAAACTGAAACTTTGCTTGTTTGTAAAAAGTGATTTCAGAGCCACTCAGTTCTGCCTGATGGAAACTGTTCGCCTTCAGTGTTTTGTGCTTATGATAATTTTAATAGATCAGCGTCACTAATTAATGACATTCTATTAAAAGACTGGTTTACCAAGAGAGACACTGGAGTATTTTCACCTAAACTGAGTTAATGAAGCAAGTCTTGTTATAAAAATGAAAATAGGACATCAGAGCCTAATAATTAATATTTTAGTACTTTTACTTTTGATACTTAAGTACATTTGAAGGTAAATACTTTTGTACTTTTACTCAAGTGGAGGTCTAAAGGGAGGAACTTCTACTTTTACTGGAGTAATATTTGAATTGGGCATCTCTACTTTAACTCAAGTACATGGTTTGTGTGCATCGTCCACCACTGATCAACACCACAGCCGTCTGCAGCTGGTTATCCAAGAGTGTTAAACACCACCTCCCCCTGAGCCTCATGGCACCGTGCAGCATTCCCACCCAACAGGGCAGGTTTTGTAATGACCTGGTTTTTGTAGTAATGGTTTTTGGGTTGTGGGTTAGTTCTGGCACTGGTGGTTTAAAGGTGGCTGAGATGTGGCCTTGTAATCACAGTAAACAGGCTGGGTTCTGGCAACCACATCTTCTGTGCCATCATTTCGAGTGGTAGGTGGGCAACATCTAAATGCCAGATGTGTCCCAGGGTTGGGCCGTATCAAATGTGCTATCTGGGACCCGTTTTTGATTAAACTGAGGGGCTGAAAACGTATTTTCTTATCTAAAACTGGGCTGGTAAGACTAAAAGATAACAAACATGCTAAACAACCCCATCATTAATATCACAGGCTTGAATTAAAGTACTTACAAAATGATTCACTGTTAAACAGCAATTTAAAAGACTAAAGAACGTCACCTGAATGGCTCACACGCTTCAAATGTTCCTGTTTCAGTCAGAAGTAGCATCAAACCCAGGCTGAGTCCCAAACGGCTCTGTACTCCCTAGATAAATACTGAGCTGTGTAACATTAAGTTTAGAAATTCTAGCTTCTGCTGTCAGATACTGCACTGTCTGTCCAGTATGAATGTGGATGAATCCCAAATGACCATTTTTAGTGATATTTTGCTCTGTTTGGCTGCAGGAGTCAGTATTTAAACTCCTACGTAGTGCACTATGTAGGGAGCAGGGAGCCGTTTGAGATTCAGCCCCAGTGTGAGAAAAGTGGAGTCGTCAGACTGGCAGAGACTCGCGGTTGTGATTTGGACCAAAAAGTACTTATAAACTGAAAGTTTCTGCATTAAACAGTGCTGAGTTATCATATGTTCACTGTTATATGAGAAAAAGTTTTAAAAATCATGAAATGTCTGCAGTTTACAGTGATTAGTGACCGAACGTTCTTCTCCTCATTCAGCGGTCCATGGTTGCTTAGCAATGATACTGTACTCTAAAGGAACTACATTTCTTGGTGGAATACTTGTTTATGGCGATTATTATTAATAATAACTTAAATAAAATCTAAAACATTGTGAATTTTAATATATTTTATGTTGGCTGTTTTATAAAAGCAATAAGCCACTCGAGGCAGAGGGTTACAGTGATTTTATCACGGGGAGGGAGTTTTACTCCGCTTCGTGTCGTGCCTAACAACACCCTTCCCCGTGATAAAATCACAGTAACCCACAGCCTCTTGTGGCTTATTGCTTTAATATCTGATGGGGGCAGTGTTGGTGTCTGCCGGGTCTTCCAGGTGGTTGTTAGAAGCCACATTTCAGGTTTTGAACTCCAGCACTGAATATGTTTACAGTTCTTTTTTCCCCCAATACATTTACATCTACACAATTTATCGTTGGAGTTAATAAAGTTTCTGTGTGAGCAGTGATTGGGCTCAGCAGTGGGTCAGTATCTGTCTCTGAAGTTTAAAACCACAGGGCTGTCTGTCTGTCTGTCTGTCTGTCTATCTCCGCTGCAGGCTCTGCCATGTCAGCACTGCGGGTGGGCCTGACACTCACACAGCAGGTGGGCTGTTCTGTTCGTTTTATTTCTATCCTCTCATCAGGGACTAAAACTGGTGCACCAATTCCCAGCCCACTACAGACAGACAGACAGACAGACAGATAGCCTGAGGGTAGTCGCACAGTTACAGCGGCAGCACAAAGAATGGAGCAAATCACACACATATTATTAGTGTCACATCAAGGCATATTCGCTCATCAATTAATTAATTAATTTATTAATTATTAATTATTGAAATCT